TTTTACCCTCAGTAAGATGAACTTTGTCCTTGGCTCTAGAGAAATAACCCTTGGAGTAATTGGGGGTGCCCTGGTCTGGAACTTCCAAGCCATACCTGAGGATTTGTGCTGGTGAGTGGGGGGCTGGCCAGACCAGAAAATAATCACCTAGAGGTCAATAACAACTAGCCTCGAGAGGCAAGATTTAGGACTAGCCAATAAAAGCCAGAACACAAAGGCTCAGAGAGCTTCCTGGTGGTCAGCAAAAAGAGGGTGACATGCCCTCTCTGAGACACAGCAGCTCTGTGTTAGGAAACTTTCCAGACCTCACCCATGCATCTCTTCCTTATGATGATCCTGATTTATATCCTTTTAGTATCATAAAACCAGTAATCATAAGTATAGTACTTTCTGTGTAGTTCTGTGAGTTGCTCCAGTGAATTATTGAACCAAAGCAGAGTGGAACGCCGGCAGGTGAAAGTGATAGTGTTGTGTGGACTTTCAAATTTGTGACTGGTATCTGCCTACTTGGCAGTCTAAAGGATGATGTACTTTTAACCTGTGAGATCTGCTTTAGCTGTGAGTGGCTAGGGTCAGGGAGTGTGCCTCATGTGTGGCTGGTGTCGGAAATGATTGAGAAGTGGGAAAGTAGGGATGGGATCAATCTCCACGTATTGGGGATTGGATTCATGCTGTGCTTATTCAAGAAGTTATCCGTGTACTGCGTCATTGTGTACTTCCTAAAAATCACAGATTCAGCCTCTTGTCCTTTTCATCCTTCTCTCTCAGAAACTGTCATATCAATCTTCCAAAAGCTCTGGTCTGATCACTTCACCCCTTTGCTCCTAAACCTACAGGTGCTCCCCAGTGCCATCAATAAACTCCTGCACTTATGTTCATGGCTCATTTCATCTGTTCAGCCAGTTCTTGTTGCTCTCCCTTGGCTACTTTTTATCCAGGTTAATTGCTAAACGTTGGAGGGCTAGTCTGACACAATCTACTCCTCCATTACTGAGACTCCTTACATTTATACTTGGAGCATAATTTCATTGAATGGATAATTCCAAGTGGGTAGTTTTCTTTTAGCTCTTTAAAGAACTTGTCCCATTGGCGTCTATTATTTCTGATGCAAAATCAGGCATAATTCTTTTTCTTTAAGATATTCTTTTTATCTTTAGCTTTCAGCAATTTGGCTGCAGAGTGCCAAGGCATACTTTTCCTTGATTTGTCCTGCTTGTGGTTCACTGAGTTTCTTGGATCCATGGGCTGATATTTTTCATCCAATTTGGGAAGTTTTCAGTTATTAGCTCTTCAAATACTTTTTTTGTGTGTGTATGTAAAAGCTTTATTGAGATATAATTCACATACCATACAATTCATCCATTTAAAGTGTAAAATTCAGTGGTTTTTAGTATATTCACAGAGTTAGGCAACCATCACCACAATTTTAGAACATTCCATCATCCCAAAAAGAAACTGTATCCTTTAGCAATCAACTCTTAGTTCTCCCATGCCCCAGCCCTAGGCAACCACTAATCTACTTTCTGTCTCTACTGATCTATTACGGACATTTCGTATAATGGAATCTCGTAGTATGTGGTCTTTTGGGCTGGCTTCTTTCACTTAACATAATGTTTTCAAGGTTCACCCATGTTACAGCATGTATCAATACTTCATTATAGCCAAGTAATAATCCATTGTATAGATATACCATATTTTCTTTATCTATTTGTCCACTGATGGATATTTAGGTTACTTCCACTTTTTGACTATTATGGAAATGCTGCTAAAAACACTGGTGTACAAGTTTTTGTGTGGACCTATGTTTCATTTCTCTTAGATATATACCTACAGGTGGAATCCCTGGGTCAATGGTAACTCTATGTTTCACTTTTTGGGGAACTGCCAAGCTGTTTTCCAAAGTGACTGCACCATTTTACATTTCTATCAGCAAAGTATAAGTGTTCTAATTTTTCCACATCCTCACTACACTCGTTATTATCTGACTTTTTTTTATCATAGTCATTCTAGTGGGTATGAGGTGGTATTTTGTTGTTGTTTTGATAAGCATTTCCTTGATGACTAATTATGCTGAGTATCTTTTCATGTGCTTATTGGCCATTTGTATATCTTTTTCGGAAAAATGTCTACTCAAGTCCTTCACCCATTGTAAAATTGAACTCTTTGTCTTTTTGTTATTGAGCTGTAAGGGTTCTTTATATATTCTAAATACAAGTACCTTATCAGACATATGATTTGCAAATTTTTCCCCTTCATTATAGGTCACATTTTGCCGCTTCCTTTACATGTCTTATAATTTGATAGTGTATTTCAGACATTGTGTATAAAAGAATGGTGGAGAATGAAGTATAATATTTGTTTTATTTTCCAAAAAGTAGAAGCCGTTTCCTTTAACAATTAGAGGGGCTGATCATTCAGATTTGTCATAGAGTTAGGGCTGAATCTCAAGTTTAATTAATTTCACCTGTCATTAACCCAGCTTCCCACCTCCACAGATGCTGCCTTTTTGATCTTGTCAGAATTTCAGCTGGGAAGGGGTTGGTTGCACTTTTAGGTATTTTTGGTTCACCTTTGGATTCCACTCCTACAGGGTCTCAGAATGCAATCACTCCCCGGATGTGCTGGACTACACTATTTCTGCTTTCTCAGTAAAATCTGAGGGGAGGTGGCAGGAGTGAGGGCAGAATTGTTGAGGCAGGCAATTTGCTTTTGTGTTTGAAGTTCTTCCGGATTCCAGCCTGTCCTCCCACTTCATACTGTCATCCTAGACTCGGCTGATTTCCCCTTGTCCCTGCAATGTTTTCCCATGTGTGGCAAGCCCACTCATACTTACGCCAGGAGCAGCCCCCAGAATTGGAAGCTGACCAGCTTTCTGCTTATCTATGAATTCTTTCTGGGATGCAGTTAATCAAGGCTTCCTTGCATATACTGCTTTTTGTTAGTCCTATGGAAAAGTATTTGTTTTGTCCAGGGTTTTTTTGTTGTTATCACAAGAGCAAAGGTCTCTCAAGGCCTTCTAAATTCTAGTCATAAGTGGAAGTCTAGACCTAGATCCAAATCCTGGCTCTAGTACTTCCATCTCTTTGATAACCAGCTAAGTTACTTCACTTTTCTAAGCTTCAGTTTCCTAAAGTGTAAAATGAAGCAGCTCTGATGTATTTGCTATTCATTCGGGCCTCTTTTCATTGACAAGTGACTGCAAATCCAACCAAAACTGGCTTGTACAATAAAGCAATGTATTGGATCACACAACTTCGAAGTTTAGGGTTAGGCTAGCTTTAGGAAAGACTTGCTGCCGCTCACATTGCCAGAACTGTTTTTCTGCATCTCTCGTCTTGGCTGCTCCACTTCACTTGTTGTGGGTATTTTAATATGATTTTTCTTCTTGTGGTCATTGTTGTTAGGTGCCCATCATGGACTGAATTGTGTCCCCCCAAAATATGTCAACTGACCTAGGCCATGATTCCCAGCATTGTGTTTGTCCACCATTTTGTCATCTGATAGATTTTCCTGAGTTGTAAATTCCTACCTCTGGGATGTTAATGAGGTGGGATTAGCGGCAGCTATGTTAATGAGGCAGGACTCAATCTACAAGATTAGGTTGTGTCTTAAATCAATCTCTTTTGAAATATAAAAGAGAGAAGCAAGCAGAGATACAGGGGGACCTCATTACTACCAAGCAAGAAAAGTCAGGAGCACATGTCCTTTGGACTAGAGATCCCTGTGCTGAAAAGCTCCTAGACCGGGGAAGATTGACGACAAGGACCTTCACCCAGAGCCAAGACAGAAAGCCTTCCCCTGGAGCTGGCACCCTGAATTTGGACTTCTTAGCCTCCTTAACCGTGAAAGAATAAATTTGTTAGAGCCATCCACTTGTGGTATTTTTGTTACAGCAGCACTAGATAACTAAGACAGTGCCCTCGAGTCAATTTTGACTCATAGCAACCCCATGTGACACTGCCCCATACAGTTTTCTTGGCTATAATCTTTATGGGAGCAGATAGCCATGTCTTTCTCCTGAGAAGCTGCTGTGTGGGTTCGAACTGTCAACCTTGCGGTTAGCAGCCAAGCACTTAACCATTGTGCCACCAGGGTTCCCTGTCTTGTGGCAGTCGGTGCTTTGAGTCAAAGGGCATGTACCTACTTCAAGCCTTGGTTTACATCCTGCTTTCCTCTCTCTCTCTGGCTTAGAATTTTCCAATACATTGCACTGAGTGCCATTTTGGACTTAAAAAACTCAAAGAAACTTGTGTACAGAGCACAATAAAACAACAGGGCCACAGCACAGGATCTTGCTGGAAGGACTCCAGCTTGCTGTTCCATTGTGATTGATTAGTAAGTGGGTTTAAGAAAATGCTGCTTGGCTACAAGATTTGTTCTGTAACACAAGGAATAAGCAGAACCCTGATGAAAAGCCAAATCCCATCCTTCCAGTTTTGACACTAGGACACAATGTACTTTCCCTTTTGAGGAGAACCTTATATTCAAGCCCTACAATTGACATTTATGATTCAAAGTGTTGCTGGACAGCTGAGGTTTCAATTATATTCTCAGTATTTATATTAGTTTTGTAAAGCTCCCTTTCACACGTGGACTTTTCTTTCAAAAACATGTTTATAAATATGTCACTGAGAAGTACTAATACCTAAATGATATAGTAAGATAGCAGATGAAAACTATTTTTAATTCTTCAAAATTAAGATATCTGAATCAGGTATTTTCTTAGCCTTGAACTTAGACTTCACAGAACTTAACAGTAAACATACAACCCCTCTTTCCACTGCCTCCCCTTCCCAGCCCAAGTCTGTGCTTTATGGAAAGAAACCAGAAAGAAAGCACTAAAGAACACTGCAACTTTTTAACTGAGTTAACATATTTAAAGTGCTTCATACATAGTAAGCATTCATTAAAGGTTAGTTATTATTCCCTAGATGCCAATTTTTTTTAGCACGGGAAGAGGCATTTTTCTAAACTTAAAAAAAAAAAGGATGCAATCTCATTGTAACAAAGTATGATTCAGCAGAAAACAGGACAGGATGAAACTGTCTTTTATTTTTAGACCCTTTCACAAAGTTTTCAGTAAATAATCTTCCCAGTGGAGAAGACAGAACATGAAAATCAGCCTCCAGCCATCAGTGGCTGCTCGGCTCAGGGCCTGGGCTCATCCTTGCCCAAGTGGTGAGGTGGAGGCGTGTACTTTCCTTCCTTTATCAGCTTAGCCCGCTGCTGCTTGATGGTGGCCACACGTTTCATCTGTCAAAGGAAAAAAGCATTTGAGCTTGGGGGAGATATGCATCAGAAAGTGAGGGCTGGAGAAACTGAGCTAGATTTTGGTTTTATTTTTAAACTAGGAAAGCTTTTCATCCTAGAGCACCTCTGAGATGAAGCCTTTCTTTAAAGAACTAACTTGAAATCATATCCCAAGCTTCTAACAAATAAAATTCTGGTACATATACAGTACCTTCTTGAAAACTAGTAACTAAAATGTTCTGATTATATCTAGGAATATAGGTATTTACATAGATAATAATAAAATAACATATAGATCAAAAACCTTTGAGAGGCAGACTTGTTTATACTAAAGTTTTTTAAATATTAAAAGCTAGGATCACTGCATAGCTTGTGTACTCCTGACCCCTCTATGAGAAGGTGATATTGCTTCTGGTGACTGTTTACTGGGTATGAGTGAAGCTGAAAGAGCGAGTATGAGGTCTCTTTTTACCACACTGAAGTAAAGGCCTGATATTTGCTCAGCCACTAGTCGTTGGTGAGCCCTGGGTTCTGTCTATTCTCAGACAGGTCATCAGTTGCTTCCCAACAAATCAAAGCCATGCTACACAAGAATGTGTGAAAGCCACAACAATGAACTGATCCCTGGATTTTGTAAAAAAAAAAAATAATTACTAATCCTGATCACGTTATCCCTTTGCTCAAAATCCTCTAATGGCTCCTCATGTTACTGAGACAGAAAGCAGAATCCTTATACTGGCCTACAAGGCCTACCTCTCCAACTCTGTCTCCTAATATCCTCCCTTAACTTTCTTTGCTCCAGCTCAGAGACTTTTACACTTGCTGTTTCCTCTGCCTGGAACATTCTTCCCCCATATTCATGGAACTGTCTCACTAAAGTCTCTGCTCAAATGTCTCCTATCCCTGAGCTCTTCTCTGACCACCCTATTTCAAGTAGTATCCACTTAGCTCCCAATCCCAGCAGTTTCTATCCTCCGCCTCTGTTTATTTTCCCCATCACACTTTTCATCACCTAACGCACTATATTTCACTTGTTTATTTGTTAATTTTCTGTTCTCTGCTCCCACCCCCATTTGAATATAAGATCCACGAGGGAAGGGACTTTTAGCTGTTTTGCTTACTGCTGTGTTTTCAGTGTCTAGAAAAGTTCCCGACATAATAGGTACTCCAATAAATAATTTTTAAATGAATAACTTTTCACAAAGGCATGAGGAGTTAGTATATTCAGTTAAACATCTGATTACCCTTAAAGAATTAGTCAGGGTCTAACTTCAGTAGGAAAAAAAAAAAACCCAGGTATCCTAAATATTGATGTACCTGTTAGCTATTTTAAAGACTGCATTCTTAACATTTCTTCATTAGAGTCTCCCAACAGAGGACCAGTCACGGTTGAGCTATGACAATACCACAAGTCAAATCTTTCTTTAAGCTAGCACTAATAACCACTTAGTACTGTGGATAAAAGCAAAGGCTCTGTCTGTAGCCGGCCTTGCCAGGTTCAAATCTCAGCTCCAACACTTACTAGCTATTTGGTCTTAGACAATGTCACTTACTAGCTATTTGGTCTTAGACAATATCCTTAACTCTTCTTCGCCTCAGGTTTCTAATTGTATAAATGGGAAAATCACAGCAACTCACCTCACAAAACTGTGTGAGAAACAAATGCATTATTATATGTTAAGTACTTAGAACACTGCTTGATAAATATGAACTATATTATACTATATTACTAACAGGTTCAAAGAACTGCACCTAAGAGCTTAAGCTATGGGAAAACTTTAGGCAACACACTGCATTCCCCAGGAATAATCAATGTGAGGCATTTAGGAAAATAACAAACTGAAGTAAAACACAGAATGATTCCAGAATCCCAGGTTCACCAGCTTCTTTCCTCTAGGGGGAGGTATCTAGTTATTTAGGGTGACCTCTAAAAAGGCCATCTGTCTATACATAAATTCACTGGATTACGAAGTGATTTTAGAGCAACTCTTTAATTGTTCCAGATAAGGAAACCAAGACCAGGAAGGGAAAGTGACTTGCCCAAAGTCACAAAACCAGTGGTGGCAAAACCAGCATCAAAACTTGGCTCTCCTAACTCACAATCCAACTTTCTTTCCACCTCCCTAGACTGCCTCCTCTTCCAAAATGAGGTAAAGTCTTAATCTGAGCAATAAATAACTGGGGCCCACAAAAAGAGAAGACATGTTGTGAACTAAAGAGCTGCAAGGTGGCAACTGTGACCCACCCATTTGTTTCTCACTAATGCTAAATACTCACTTCATGATCAATATTCCTAGAGAGATCAATACAAAATTACCACCTAACACTCCCTGATTCCTTCCAAGTTTGGCTTCACTTTACCCAAATGCCATCATACAGCAGATGTTAAGACATTTGCAAATTTTGCTCCAGGTAACTATGTTATCAATTTAACTGAAAATCTAAATTGTCTTCCCAAGCCTCAAGGAAGAGGGAGTAATAAAAACATTTCTATTTGCTGTATCTGAAGCACAGAAATAGGCAAAATCACAGCCACACACATTTAGAATTTCTTCTCTAACAATAGGACCCTTTACGTTATGCTCCCCATTCAACTCTAGCAAAAATGGACACCATGCTGTTAACATCTATTTTCTTTCTGCATTTTTGGCCAGACTCACCTAAAGCAATCTCATCAACACTTCCATTTCCCCAGAGTAGAAATGAACCCCCGTGATTGTTATGTAAGATTCAATGTAGTAGATCTGCAGAGTTTTAACCCCTTCCCTAATGAGGGTTCAATGAATTTGAAATATTGTCACCCAAAGGTTTTCAAGGACAAATACCCAAGGCTGGATGATAATCTTTCTTTTATAGCCTACTGTAGAATGGAAATACACACGTATGCAATTTCTAACCTGATGCTACAGCAGGATACACACTAAAGAAAATCTGCGAGAAGGGGAGGATAAGAAAGCACACTGACGAATTGCATAATGGCCCTCCTCCAATCTGAAGGCATTTCTTTGTCATGGTACCTAATTAGAGAAGGTATTTTACCACAAAAGTTTTGCCAGTTCACATTGGGCAAGCCTCTGCCCAACAACCCATTAAAAACACTTAAGAATAGCCCCAAAGAAACAAGACAGCAATTCAGCTCCCACCTCCATCACTTCCTCACCGTTTTCTGACGAAGCAAACATTCTGTAAGATCATCGAACTCTATCTTGCACTCTTTCTCTGCCCGGATACCACCGATTCCATGGGCACATTCTATCCATTCTTTTTCAAAAGCATGGCATCGAGCTGAATGCCTGTAAGGCTGCTCAGCACTTTGGATTGTCATCCAGTGGTCTATGTTAAGGCCCAGCCTCTTCTGCACATCAAAGAAAGGCATGGCTGCAATGGAAGATAAAAAAGAATGCCAAAAAACACAATCAAATGAAAAAGTTTTAAGAAAAATGAAATGGTTAATTATGATTAAACAGCCATCTGAAAAGCCATCATCTGAAAAGTTGATTGATACCATTTTCCCAATTTCTTCTCACCAAACTTTTTCACTAGACAGGTTCTTCCAATTTATGGCAGATCAGCAATTTCTGTGCTTTCAAAAAACCCAAGGAAAAGAGCACTAAAGAACGATGCAGAAACATAACAAAACAAACAAAAAACTTTTCTATCGTAATGTTGCTGGATGCGGTGGGGTTGATTCTGACTCACAGCAACCCCACGTGACAGAGCAGAACAGCCCCATTTGGTTTTCTAGGTTGTACTCTTTAAGGAGAAGAAGCCCCACAGGCGTACTTTGCACTCCACTGTAATGAACTATTCACTACTATGTCTCCCTATAGGACAGCGAGAGCCTTGAGGGTAGCGGTCAAGTAGGGGCTCAGTGATTGTTTGCTGAAAAAAATGAATTTCAAACAACTTAAATGTGCAACAATTGAGAAATGGGTGATTAAATTCTGGTATCCATTAGTAGAATATGATACAGACATTGGAAAAAGAGGACAACATACTTGGAAAATAATGTTAAAAGAAAAAGAGAGGCTATAATACCGAAGAAAAATTACATAAGACGATGGAAGGAAGCACAAAAAAGGGTCAATATAGTTGTGTATGGATGATAAACTTATAGACAGGTTTAATTTTAAAATTTTCTACCCATTCTTCTAGTCATTTACTGAGTAATCACGTTTAATGTAATGGAAGAGGAGAAAGCGTAGCTCCAACGTAAGCACTACAATGCAGATACACACTAGAACTGGGAATCCATTGGAAAGGGCACCAGAAGGTAGGAGCTCACAGGAGGGAGCACCTACTCTCCCCGGGAGACCTAAAAATGCCTTCAAGACGGGTTAAGAAGATCAGTGGGCAGAGTATTCCAGGTTACGGCAACAGCACGAGTTACAGCCAGTGGTACTGGATATGTCTAGGGGACACGGAGGAGACCCAGACAGGACAGGAGCTCAGGGTGCATGACCGGAAGGAGGAGGAAAAGAGCTGAAGAAGTTGGCGTGGCCGAAATCACGCCGGGATAAGGAGCTTGGACTTCAGGTTACCAAAGGAAAACCAAAGCATTCGCCCTGCAGAGAGCTGAGTTAACGCGGAAAGAGGGCGAAGAGAGGTACAGTCTACAGGCTTGGGTAACGCTGGCTTGGGGGTGAAGAGCCTAGGAAGGCTGAGAACACGCCCATAGATCCGGCCTGGACGAACAGGACACCAGCAAGCCAAGAGGAAATTTGTTAAGTAAATCTCGGAAGAAAGCTCCTTAGCCTAAGCTGCCGCGCCGACATACCCAGCGCCTACCGTCCCGCCGAAGCGTCCTTACCTTCTCCCTGACCGCCGCAGCAGCACAGTCACTTGCAACTTCGGCGCCTGCCGCAAAGGATGCCCGCAGCGCGACACTTGGAGTACGACGCCGGGAGCCGACCTTCCTTCCGCCGTCTCGCCCGGGAAACCGTAGAAACGTAGCCTGTCGATGTGCGCCTGGGCAGCGGTATGGGTTGGCCTCTGGAGGTTTTGATTGCGGATGAACTGACCTTCCCTAGACGACCGCTTTAGAGAAGGCCTAGCCTTAGTGAGTTCCTGCTGCCTCTTCACACTGTGCCTAGCACTCTTACGACGTCTCTCATTGGCGAGGGACTTGATCAGAGGCGCACGAGAGAAAGAACTTTGGCTTTCTACTCCCTTCACCCTTTATTAATGGTTAAGCACTTGAACTGTGGAATTAGACTGGGTGGGTTCAAATTCTGACATCGTCCCCTCTGTGTGACCCTGGGAAAGTTTTTTAACTTCACCATGTGTCAGTTTCCTCATCTGTTAAGTGAGGACATTATTAGTACCCACAGCATAGGGTTTCGATGAGCTTTAAATGAGTTATGTGTAAAGCACCAAGGAGGCGGCTGGCACATGGAAAGCCCTCTAAGACGGTCGCCTAGGTCGCCGTCACTTGATGCCTCGGTCTCTTCTGTTTGCTGATTCACCATGCCCCTTCTCTATTCTAGAACCGCAAGTGGCTCCCTTTGACTACAGCAGGGCCTTGAAAGTGGTGTGCGTGGATACCACAGGGTGTCTGTGTGTGAATGATATGATACATTGGGGTGTGGGAAGAAAACACTAGAATATATATTTTTACCAAACCTTCTTTAATTTTATTTGTGTGTGTAAATTTTTATAAAGTGCCTACAGAAACTTTATAACTACTGCAGTTGTACATATGACTTGTAAATACATACTTGAATTTTCCCCCCTTTTACGCTCTCAAAAAACATTTAGAGAAGTCCAGCCTTCCAACTTTCCCAGCCTCGTCCAAAATCACCTGATGCCCAAGTCAAGAGCTTGCTGTTCCAGTGTATTCCAGGAAACTCTTTGCCTTTTAATCCCTTTTCCCTGAAAAGACACCACTTCCACTCCACCTCACTCCCATTTTTGCATGCCTAATTCCTGCTGTGCTTCAGCACTTTTGCATAGGTTTTTCCACAAATACGGGTTCACTGCCTTCATGTCCCAGGAAAACCCACTCTGAAGAGAATTTCTAAGGTCCCACAACTCTCTGGCTGTCTGGTTTTGTTCAAGTACAGTATATTTATTCTCCCTCCCTTTGCCTACTCATCAGATATTTCTTGAGCACCTAATGTATGTCAGCAGATTCCTGGAGGATTATGGAATTGGTAACTCATGGTCCTTGCCCACAAAGAACTAAAGGTGGCAAAGGGATTGATGACTACCCTTTCCACCTCCCCCACTTCCTTGTTCATCTTGGTGGTAACATCATTTTCCTAACCACTCAGGCAGGAAACTCTGGAGCTGTAATTTGCCTTTTCCTCTTATTTCATTCAATATTCACTTATTCCCAAATTCTCTCAAATATTCCTTCAACAGGACTCCAATTTATTCCTTCCTTTCTACCTCCTAGCAATCTCCTTCAATCTGTCCTGCACTAACTGTAAACCCATTGCCATCAAGTCAATTCCAACTCACAGTAACTCTATAGGACAGAGTAGAACTACCCCATAGGGTTTCCAAGGCTGTAATCTTTATGGAAGCAGACAGCCATATCTGTCTCCCGTGGAGCAGCTGGCAGGTTCAAACCGACAACCTTTCTGTTAAAGCCAAACACTTTAACCACTGCACCACCAGCGCTCCTCTGCACTGACTAATATTCCTAAAACACAAATTTAATTGTATCATTCCTCAGAGATACTTTGCATGATAGATTAGTACAAAGTTGGGCAACTCACATTCCTCCAGGGTCAAATAGGGCTCACTCTAAGGAAAAGACAACAAAAACACCATGATAGATGGCAAGTAATCCTTGGCCTCAGTGTGAGCAATGGGAGTAGTGAGGTATGTGTGAAACTGTAGAGAGCACATGTTGTTGCTAGGTGCCGTTAACACTGCCCAGTCCTGCTCCATCCTCACAATAATTGCTATGCTTGTGCCCATTATTGCAGCCACTATCAGTCCATCTCCTCAAGGGTCTTCCTCTTTTTTGCTGTCCCTTTACCTTACCAAGCATGATGTCCTTCTCCAGGGGCTGGTCCCTCCTGATAATATGTCCAAAGTACAGGAGATGAAATCTCGCCATTTTCGCTTCCAAGGAGCACTCTGGCTGTACTTCTTCCAAGACAGACTTATTTGTTCTTTTGGCAGTCCATGGTATATTCAGTATTCTTCGCCAACCCATAATTGAAAGGCATCAGTTTTTCTTCGGTCTTCCTTATTCATAGTCCAACTTTTGTGTGCACATGAGGTGGTTACAAATATAATAGCTTGGGTCAGGCACACCTTAGTCCTAAAACTGACATCTTTGCTTTTCAACATTTTAAAGAGGTCTTTACTCATCTGTCAGTTTGTTGTACTGTGGTGGCTTGCATGTTGCTTTGATGCTGGAAGCTATGCTACCGATATTTCAAATACCAGCAGAGTCACACATGGTGGACGGGTTTCAGTGGAGCTTCCAGACAAGATAACTAGGAAGAAACCTGGCAGTCTACTTCTGAAAAAACTGGCCAGTGAAAACCTTATGAATAGCAGCAGAATATTGTCTTATATAGTGCCAGAAGATGGGATCCTCAGGTTGGAAGGCACTCAAAATACGACTGAGGAAGAGCTGCCTTCTCAAAGTAGAGTGGACCTTAATGACTTGGATGGGGTAAAGTTTCTCGACCTTCAATTGCTGATGTGGCACTACGCAAGATGAGAAAGAAGCAGCTGCAAACATCCATTAATAATCGGAACGTGGAATGTACGAAGTATGAATCCGGGAAAATTGGAATTTCTCAAAAATGAAATGGAATGTATAAAGGTCAATATCCTAGGCATTAGTGGGCTGAAATAAAACTGGTATTGGCCATTTTGAATCAGACAATCTTATCTTCTACTATGCCAGGAATGACAGATTGAGGAGAAATGGCATTGCATTCATCATCAAAAAGAACATATCAAGATCTATCCTAAAGTAGAACACTGTCAGGGATAGGATAATATACATAAGCCTACAAGGAAGATCAGTTGATACAACTATTATTCAAATTTATGCACTAACCACTAAGGCCAAAGATGAGGAAATTGAAGACTTTTACCAACTGCAGCAGTCTGAAATTGATCAAACAGGCAATCAAGATGCATTGATAATTACTGGTGATTGGAATGCAAAAGTTGGAAACAAAGAAGAAGGATAAGTAGTTGGAAAATATGGCCTTGGTGATAAAAACGATGTCAGAGATCACGTGATACAATTTTGTAAGACCAATGACTTCTTCATTGCAAATACCTTTTTTCAACAACACAAACAGTGAATGTACATGTGGACCTCACCAGAGGGAGCACAAAGGAATCAAATCGACTACATCTGTGAAAGAGACGATGGAAAAGCCCGATATCATTAGTCAGAACAAGGCCAGGAACAGACCATCAGTTGCTCATATGCAAGTTCAAGTTGCAGCTGAAGAAAATTAGAACAAGTCCATGAGAGCCAAAGTATGACCATGACTATATCCCACCTGAATTTAGAGACCATCTCAAGAATAGATTTGACACGTTGAACACTGATGACGGAAGACCAGACAAGTTGTAGGATGACATCAAGGACATCATACATGAAGAAAGCAGGAGGCCATTAAAAATAAAGAAAAGAAGAAAAAGACCAAAATGGATGACAAAAGAGGCTCTGAAACTTGTTCTTGAATGTAGAGTCGCTAAAGCAAAGGGAAGAAATGATGAAGCAAAAGAGCTTAACAGAAGATTTCAAATGGTGGCTCAATTAGACAAAGTAAAGTGTTATAATGAAATGTGCAAACACCTGAAGATGGAAAACTAAAGGGGAAGAACACACTCGGCATTTCTAAAGCTGAAAGAACTGAAGAAAAAATTGAAGCCTCAAGTTGCAATATTAAAGGATTCTACAGTGAAAATATTGAATGACACAGAAAGCATCAAAAAA